TAGAATTACAAATAAAATCAAGAGTGAATATAGCTCATTGTCAATTTGTGTTTTGGTATTCTACCCTGACGGTCTGACTGATTAACCTCTTCAGAGAAATCTGACATAGAGATAGTCATTGAATGGACAGCTTTTCCTTAAAGGGCCAAAAGGTAAGTATTTTAGGCTTTGCAGCAAGAGTCAATGTTAGAGACATTGTGCTGTTTACATATTGCTTAAAACAGAGAAAGCCGTTCTTGTTTGAAGCTGTATCATGCATTTTACTACCCATTTACAGCACAGAAGCCTGTTAATCTATAGGCTGTGACAAAAATAGGTGTTGACAGAAGGTGCATTGGACTTGGCCCAAGTCACAGCTCACTCACTCAGTTTAAACAGGCACCTGGCTTCTTGGAGTAGAGACTTTTGGGAATTTTCTTTTCTTTTGCCCCATCCTCCTTCTTCTCATATGGAATCTTGGCTGGCCCCAAACACATGGCAATCCTCCTGCTTTCAGGCTTGCCAGTGCTGAGATTACACGTCTGCATCCCAGCTCCCATCTTTGACTTGCTGATTTCTAAGCCATGCCCACGATTACAGCTTTGTCAATTATTCTCATTTATTTCTATTTGTTTTGCTGTATGTATTCCATTTATGTTTTTAGGGGTAATAAAGTTCATGGCTGTTGGATCTTCTTGGCGAATTCTCCCTTTTTATGAGATATTCTTTAATATCTAGTTTTGTCTTTAAATCAGTTTTGTTAAATATAGTTATTCCTAATTTTTTGTTTTTATAGCATTTGCAGTCTTTTCTCATGTATTCCAACTTTCTTGTCTTGTTTTAGATATTTCCAACTTCATGTAGCTAGGATTTAAATTTTTCTTTTACCTCATTTGAATAGAATTAAAAACAATTTATTTACTTTTACTGGCATAAGTTTTGTTTGCAGATATGTGAGCACCTGATGCCTGTGGAGGGTAGATGAGTGCACTGGATGCAGGGAGCTGGAGTTGGCAACGACTGTGAGCCACCACGTGGGTGCTGGAAACCAGATTTGGGTCTTTTGCAAGAGCAACAAGTGTTTTTAACTGCTGACCCATCTCTCTGGCCTTCTTATTCAAATCCCACACCCCTACACCCCATAAGGAAGAGTCTTACTGTGGAGCTCTGCTGTCCTGGACTCACTCTGTAGACCAGGATGGCTTTGAACTCACAGAGATCTGCCTGCCTCTGCCTCCAAAGTGCTGAGATTAAAGGCATGTGCCACTATGCAGGGTTATCTGAACACCTTTTAATAAGCAGGTCTAACCCACTTACATTTGCTTACAATGTTTTTTCTCCTTCCTCTCCTCCCCAGTGCTGGGGATTGAATCCAGAGTCTTGCATACACCAAATGCTCTATCACCAAACTACATCCTCAGTCCTACTTCAGTTTTGTTTTAAGAGTTGTAATGTTAGGATTTTTATTGTGATTTGTCTGTACAGATAGCTGCAACTCAAATACCCTGTTGTGAGCACTTAGATTCTATTATGCCTACGCACAGCATAGGATAACTCTTAGTGATTGCCTCCTTTAAAAGATCTTCTTCCAGTTCAAAAGTCAAACATGGCAGACAGTCTATCTGTGCAAACCTGTTTTAGAACTTTGCTTTTCTAACTGCTGTCTTCCTGTCACCCAGTTTACTTTACTCCTTTATTGGAGACCAAACCCCAATGTCTTATATATGCTAAGCAAGTGCTACCACTTAGTCACACACCTCCAGGACTTTATCATTGCCTCCCAAAACCCATGCCCCAACTACACTCATCTACCTACCTTGTTCGTAGCTTGAAGAGTTGAACCTATTTTCTGAAGATTGATTAGGTAAGGACCGGTTAAGAGTGGCATTTCATTGGGAAGCCTCTGAAGATTGAACGGCCATAATGACTCCAAGAAATGGAAGTAGGAGAGCCTTCAGCAGCCAGGTTTCCCACAAATCCCACGCATGAACCAATGCACAGCCCACTTAAACTCTCTATGCTACAGTCTCCTTATCAGGACAATAAGATACAAGAGCAGCCACCTCATAGATTGTTATTAGCAGCTGTCAGGGCTATAGAATGGAGCTGGACATGGTGATGCACACCTTTAATTTCAGTACTTGGGAGGCAGTGGCAAGCAGAATCTGTGTGTTCTTGAGGTCAGCCTGGTCTACATACTTCCAGAAACAGCCAGGGCTATATAGAAAGACCTTGTCTCAAAAGAAAAAAAAAGCCTGTAGACTGACGGTTGGGATGTAGTAAAGGTGCTAAGTGCTTGCTATAGCTTCAGTAGATCTAAAGCACTCCTCCTGCACAGGACCCGAATTGGCACTTTTCTGCTTAACATTTTTGTGAATATATTATTAATGAAAACAGAAACAGGACATTGACATGGACATACCCTAAATAAGGGTGAGCACGCCCTAAGGGGACACTTTTGTAATCATAGCTCAGAAACCACAATATTTGATGGAGCAACCACCAAAACATATTTCTGGGTGAAAACATTTTTACTGATGTCTAGATTTTTAAACTGATGTAGGAATCTGGAACATACAAGCTGGAATATCCTATGGCCCTGTACTGCGGTGTATCGCTGAATTTAAAAGGGTGACAGTACACATTTACACTAAAGTAATTCTTTAAACACACACGCACACACATCTATGGGATAATATCTGCTGGAAGGATATGCTCAAAAGCAGTGGCCTCTCTACTTGAGAGCTGCCAACACTTCCATGAACAAATAGAGTCCTCCAGGGGTGGGAGAGGGTAGATTTTTAGCACTATAAATTTAAACTTGGTCTATATTACAAGGCCTATTCTCTGAAAATGAATGAAACTGGCTTTACCCGAGTAAAGAGCTATTGGCAAGGTGGACAAAGGTGTTGTCCACTTTCCCTGACTTTCAGGAAGACTACATTCGCTCCTCATCTGTATGTGACAACTGTGCTTTGTTCTAGCAGCAAGAATCTCCAGTTAATTTCGTGCTTTATCTTCTCATTCCCCATAGAACACTGATTTTGTAACAATGAACAAAATCTCATACGCACTGTTAAAATGGGACTTTTACTTTATGACAGATCAGCATAAATACCCTGCAGAGTGTTTTTTTAAAAACAGTGTAACAGTGATGCAAAAATGATCTCACACAGCCGGCTTCAGACTTGACATCCAGGCTATAGCCTAAAAGCCTTTAGCAAGTGACTGATCAATCACAACATTACTGTGATGTTTATTTTTTATCAGTTAAACTTGAAATAAATCAACAACAAAATAATACAAGGACAAAATCCGAGCTCTGTTGAGCAACAGCTGTGTTTGGTAATGGGAAGAACACTGAATCTGAGCCAGTCCCTCTGAACTGTTGTTTTTGTCCTTGGATGGATGATCTGAGAAAGCAGCCTTGGTTAAGAGTCTTTCATTTTAAATCCACAGAGGTGCCTTTATGGTTGTCTACAGTCTTTCTGGGTTGAAATTTCCAGTAACCAATGCATGTTAACCATCCTTTGTGAATATGTGCAAAATACACACACAGAATTACAATGATATGGGCACATTTCAAGTCCAAATAGGTAATGGACAGTCTCTGCTGATGCTGAGTTAGAACATGGCATTTATCACCCTTTCCTGGGTTTCTAAATAGAGAGGAGCAGGGTAGGACTCTGTTTACTCATACTGAGTCCCACTGCATCCTCTGTAAGTCCACCTCCTTCACATTGTCACAGAAGTGGAAGATGTCTGCCCCCCCCCCCCCCCCCCCCGTCAGGGCACTGCATCCACCCCTGCCTTTCTTATTACACTCATCTGTCTGTTCTGAAAGGTTGGGAGAGGGGCTTTCATGATTTCCCCCATTTGAAAGTCAAGTAGACTTTATCTCTTTGGATTCAAGGTCTAAATTTGTTCTATTTCTTCCTACTGTTTTAATGTAATTCCTATCTCAACTGTATTTACACAACCTTGCATATTTAACTATGATTTGCATTGTGGAAATTAATTTAGCTCAATAAACATGACTGTGCAAAGCAAAATTACCTAGAAAATGTCAGGTTTTTGTAATAAACATTATCCATTTGCAAACGTGCTAAAATACTTTCTATCTAGAAGTAATGATTATTTTCAGCAACTGTATTAGCCTTGGGGCATTTTTCACATCTAACTTGTGATGTTTCCTCTGGAAATGTGAAACTCGTTTGTCTACTGTCTACTTCTCTCTCTAGAAGACTCAGGATCTGCAACTAGAGGATCTTCTCCTGACTGCAAATTCCTAACACTGATCAATGGCTTCACCAGCTGGATATCTGATTAGGCTTCGCCTGTTTTTCATTTACATTGTAAAACATAGATCTTTGTCTTCACAAATATAAAATTATTTAATATACTATATAAATGACTATGTATATTTATACTGAACGTGTCTTTTCAAACTATCTAGTCTCCGTTCCCCATTCCTTATGAGATTGTGATATTATTTCCTTACGGGGGTATATTTCTCTTAAGAATCAATTTTGAAAACCAAAATTGAATTTCTCAATTAATTGCTATTTAGGATAAAGTCCAATAACCAAGTTTGAGGGAAAAAATACTCAATTAAAATATGGAAATAAATCGTACTACTGAAAAATAGTGCATGATCTAATAAATTATTTTCAGATGATTAGGCCAAATTATTTAAACTATATAGTTGAAAACAAATACAGGGACATGTTTTTTAAATGAGCTGCTAAAAGCCACATAATACATCTTTCATATAGTTCAATTTTTAGCAGCCAAACATACTGCTTTTGTTGGTTAAGATAATATTTAGGACTTTTTGTTGTTGTCAATTATATGGCCTACAAGCTACATTTTTATTTTCTATTATTTCTTTGATATTTAGAACTAAGAGTTCTAGATTTTTCCAAATAAATTTAATCAGTTTCTACCTTGTTTAGCAACTTACCACTGAATCTATAAAGTATTGAATAAAAATTGCCAACTGTAACAAATGTTCCTCTGGCTCATACCACACAGTACAGAGATTTAGTAGGAATATAAAGTGACTATTTCTGTCAGCTACCAATACTTCAAATGGTTTCTTCTTCCTAAATGCTGGTATAGTGAAACTTTTGTATACTCTGAAAGTAGGATGAGAACTATAAATGTGTTCAGAAGCTTAGAAGTAGTTTTAGAGTAGATTGGAAAGAGACAGGAACAAAATCCAGGTCTGAGACCAGGACAAGGGGCTTCAAATAAAATACTGCACTGCTCTGCAGGCTCTACTCAGTAAGGCACAGCAGTTGGAAATGGTTTGCCAGGGATGCCAGAGAGGGCTCATCCCACAGACATCAGTACTCTGCATCGATGTGCTTTGCAATGGTGTTCAGCTGGATATTGGAAGCTCCTTCATATATTGTACCTTAAACAAAAGGGAGAAACAAAAGGGACAATTAGGAGTGCACCCACAGTTAAAGAGAGCCACACAAAGACACCACCCCTGCATCTGCATATGAACAGGATTCAGCTTCCAAAGTGATTCTGATAAGGTAACAGTTTTCCATTTGACCTGCAGCTCACTAAAATCGGCTTTGAACAGTTGAGGATTTGGCTCTTAGAGCATCAGTGAGCAAGCCCTGCTGCTTCTAAGGACCTGGCAGCTTTCAGGACTGCCATTTGCTCTCCTTGCTGCTGGTGGAGCACTGGAGCACTCAGGCATGATGAGGCAGCTGCCTTCTGAAATTAGAACCATACTTCACAGAACAGTATTAGACTCCAGGAATGGTAAATACCAACAACTTCAGTAACAGGAAAATGAAGACAGTGCATTTTGTCGCAGTTCTCTTAAAAGGTCTACGGAGGCATTTTAAGAGTCAATTTGATGTTTTTAGAAATATAAATTCATTTTTCTGATAGGAAGAAGGAAGAAATGCAGCCACAAAGAAAAGTCAATAAACATTCTGTAGAGATTAAAATGCTTTTACCTAAGTACCAGTAATATAAAATCGACAAACACAATAGCCCAAATACCCACAGTGGCAAATAAAACAAGCGAACACGGAGAGTCTGCTTACCGATCTTTGCATCTCGGAAGAATTTCTCCACAGGGTAATCTTTGGTGTAGCCGACCCCTCCCATCCACTCGATGCACTTACTTGTTGTTAGCCCAGCAACCTACCAAAGGCAAGGAGCAGGTTATAGACTAGAGCTTGCACAACATGAGCCTTGGAGTGACATTCTTAGGAGCACACATTCACTGTTAGCAAGTGGAAGAGTTGCAGTTATTTCTCTAAAATTCTCCATGAAATCACAGAATTTTTTTTTAAAAAAGAAACCAGACTTGTTCATATGCATATGCTTGTCAACAGGCATCATTTCTTAGCAGATATTTCCTGAGGGTGGGGGAAGACAGACGCTACCCCTTCGGTCCTTATGGTCATTTAGAGACAGACATTAAACCACCTGACACAGATTTTATAAGCTGCAGAGAGCAGAAGAGCTTCTCAGGCAAACTGTTGTGAAGAAACAGCTTGGCCGAGACCTATAACAGCAGTTAGGGGCATTATAAACTGAGGAACAACACAACTGTACAAGGACTCCAAATAGAGCAGGGCCCATTGGCCTCAGGGACCAGAGAGACTGGGGTCAGTGTGAGAGGGGAAGAAGACACTGGAAGGGCAGGGCTGGCCTGGGCTGGCCTGGGCTGGAGGGCAAGCAGTTTGACTATTGTAATAGCTCCTCAAGGATGTCCAGAGAGAACCCAATTCCCAGAAACTGGATGTGCTATCTAACCTGACAACAGAGGCTTTGCAGCTGGGACTGAGTCAAGGGCTTGAGATAAGAAAATTATCCTGGATTACTGGGATGGAGCACTTAATCCCAACAGTGCTCATAAAGGAGGAAGGATGCTGGAGAGCTAGTTACTGAAGACAAGCTGACCATAGCAACGAGAAGGAGTGTGTGTGTGTGTGTGTGTGTGTGAGAGAGAGAGAGAGAGAGAGAGAGAGGGAGAGAGAGAGAGAGAGAAGATGGACAAAGGGATGAGTCAAGGAAATAAGCAGCCTTGAGAGCTGAAAGGTTCTTCCCTGGAGCCTCCAGAAAGCCTGTTCTATGAGCATCTTGATTTAATATCTCTAAAGCCAATTTCGGATTTCTGACCCCCCAAAGTGGAAGCTGACAAAACTGCATATTTCAAAACACTATATTTTGGGAAATTTGCTTGCTGTAGCATCGTGAAAAACTAATACGAATATTGTTTCAATTACTGTGAGAAATCACTGAAAAGTTCCAAGAGACATCATGGCCACCAAAAAAGACAGCAACATTGGAATGGGGGCAGCAATAGGGACCATGAAAGCAGCTGGGTGGCCCAGGAATTTGGCTAAGAAATCATGTAGCCTGGACAAATAGGTGGCAGAGAAAGAGAGAGAAACAGAGAGAGGCAGGAGAGAGGAAGGGAGAGACACACACACATACAGAGAGAAACTGCAAGAATGAGAGAGAAACATGGAGAGTGTGAGAAAGAGACAGAGACAGAAGCAGAGACAGAGACACAGAGAGATGCTGGGATTTTGGCTTTCTCTGGACATCCTTGAGACCCCATTAAAACAGTCAAACTGCCTGCCCTGTTCCAGGACCAGCCTGCTCACCCAGTTACTTCTCCTCTCTTACATTGACCCCAGCATGGCAGTCTCTCATTTTAGGAGCTGTAAGGGTTAAATGAGTACTGTCGGTGTAGGCAACCTGTAGCCCATGGGCTATGTGTACCACAGGAAAGCCATGAAAGCAGCTCAATCCATCTAGAGAATGTCAAAAGGTTGGACCATCCTAAATCAAGATATTAGACAGTGTCAAGACTTGGAGACAGCCCCCCATAATGTGGAGCAACTCTCTTGCCATAGATCCAAGTGTACACAGAGAATGGATATATCTGAGTAGAAGATATTACTCATAGAGATCATGTTTTCTTGGTGCTTTAAGTCTCATATGGTCTTGTCATGAACATATCATCCATGACAACTCATTGTATCCCAACTTGAAACCATGGCCTGAAGCCATCACTCAGAGGAGGCCTCTGTGGACTTGGTGTGGTGTGCTTCAACCTGAACTGGCCATTCACAAAAACACTGAGACACTACAGAAGCAATGCATCTTCCCACGACAGCTCTACCCTTACTAGTCTACGGCAGGAAGTGGAAGGTGCACTTCCTTTTTTGGGAGATAACCTAAGCCTAATCAATATTCCCAAGTGAAAGACTAATAATCTCACTTATGAATAAGAAAGGAAGCTGGTAACTCCTTCTAGTTTACCTCTGATGCATAGTATTTGGCCATAGATGCTTCCTTTATAAATGGCCTTCCGGCTTCTACGAGCCTGGCAGCGTTGTACGTCAGCAATCGTGCGGCTTCCAGCTGGGTAGCCACCTGAGCCACTTGGTGTTGGAGCCCCTGTAACATGTAGACCCATGTAAGAAAATGGACAATCTGCAAACCTCAGTTTCCTTCTAACTGCAAGGGAGATATACACAATGCCCGAAGACTCAAAACACACCCCCAAAGAAATACAACTCCAATCCTTCTAAATACCTTAAATCTGCAATCTAAAGTAAAATAATAATAGGCTACAGGTATTATAGATTTTTTCTTGAAATATTTCAAAACTCATGTAATCCTTCATAGTTTAAGATTTTAAATAGCACCATAAAAGTCAGGTTTTAAAACTTTGATTCTCAAATTTAGTAATTATTTTCAACTATTTATGATAAAAACTAGGCTCATAGTAAATCCCAATAGAACAAAACTTTCAAATGTTCTTTGCTTGATTGAATTTAAAATTTTTGATTTTGAACATGACCTCAACACCTTAAAAGTTGCTAGCTGTAATGAAAGAATATTTGAAGCACCAATTTTCTTCCTTCAACTAACTTTATTAATGTGAGTCTACTCCAAAGTTCAAGAAGAGATAGCAGCTGTATATATCGTCCTCTGTGGCTCTCTCGTTCCATTCTGGAGACAGAGATTTCACCAAACCTGGTGCTTACCCTATGGCTGCTGACCAGGAAGTCTCTGGGATGTGAAACCCTGTCCCCCTCCACAATATCAGTTTCATTCAGCTTATACAGGAGCTCAGGTCTCCAAGCTTGCACAGCAAGTCCTAAACCATGCCCCCAGCCCCCATTTATTCTAATTTTAAAGAATAACTTTTAAATGCATATTAAAAAGTTACTGCCACTCTGAAGTTTTATTTAGTGATGAGGTGCCACTAAGTGCCTGCTAATGAATAAAATGTGTTAGTGAGACCAGGAACGTAAACTTAGGTGATACACAGTCTGCTAAGCTTCGGTTCAGGCATTGGGGGTGGGGGGCATACTTATAATTTCAGTATTTGGACTCAAAACCAAGAGGAACTGCTGCAAGCTCACATCCAGCCTGGGCTACACACTGAGTCCCTGTCTTTAAAAATGGGGGCCCACAGAGACTGAACCACCAGCCAAAGAATATGCATTGATGAGACTTAGGCTCCCTGCACATATGTAGCAGATATGCAGCTCGGTCTCCATGTGGGCCCCCCAACATTTAAAGTGGGGGCTGTCCTGACTCTGTCACCTGACTGTGGATCCTGTTCCCCTAACTGGGCTGCTTTGTCTGGCCTCAGTGGGAGAGGATACACTTAGTCTTGATGTGACTTGATGTGCCAGGGCAGGTTGGTATGTGAAGGGAATGGGGGGCTCCTCTTCTCTGAGAAGAAGGGGAGGGAGGAAAGGGGTAAGGGGGTGAGAGTATGGGACCGGGAGGAGAGGAGGGAGGGGGCTGTGATCAGATGTAAAGTGAATAAATAAGTTAATGAAAACAAAAAGCAAAAGAAAATCTCAACAACCCAATTTGCTAGAAATATAGCCTCGTGTTTACTATAGACTGGAATGTTTTTCATATCTAACCTATCCACCATTCAAGCATTTATTATATGCTAATTCCGTGTTGAGCAACGGGAGGTACAACATTTAACACTATAGCCAGAATTCCTTGTCTTCGTGATTTGAGTCTAACAATAGAAGTCAATTAAATAATTTCAGTAATATGTGATGAAGATTAAGACAGTCTCAAGTAAAGCAATTATTTAATAATCCCATTAATGAAAAGCTTTTCCAAAATGAAAGGAGTGAAAACTTGGGCAGAGTGGGCTATGTATAAATATCTGATAGAGTCTTTGCTTTCTGTGATATTTAGTATTTACACTATTTTGATATGCATAAAGGTTTTCATAGATATGAATGTTATGAAGCATCACAATAATGGAATAACTGCAAGCCTCTACAGAGCAAATACCTCCCTGCTATGACATGTCTTTTCACTTATGCTATCTCTTTTTGTGGTGTGGACGTTGAACTCAGGGCCTTATGCTACATTCTAGGCCTACTGGGTAAGCATTCCTAATCTAAAAATCTGAAATCCAAAAATGCTCCAAAATCTAAAATTTTTTAAGTATCAAGATGGTGCCACAAGGAGAAAGTTCAATCCATGACATTTTGGTTCATATATAAAAATACTAAAAGTATTGTATAAAATTACCTCAAAGCTACATATAGGGCATATAAGGAATAATAATGAAGTTTGTTTAGATTTACCTCACATCCACAGGCTATCTTACCATGTCCATAAAACAAAAAAATGTTTGTTTTGGCAAACATTGGAAGCCTGAACTATTTCTAGTGCCAGGCATTTCAGATAAAGTCATATGAACCTGCACACAGATTAGCAAGGTGTGAACCCAGGGGATGCTGGACTTCTAAGGTGGTGAGGAGCCAGCTCTCCAGTGCCCACCAAGGCATCCCGAACACATAACAGCTGGCCTCAAGGACTATGGTTCTGCCCTTAGAAAAGATTAAGATGGTCACAAGCGTATCTCATGAGACCTATTTCTCTTCCCAATTAGAACATCCTTGGGGGACTCCCTCCATGGCTTTCAACACAGGAAAGGGAAAAGTCCAAGACAACAGAAAGAGTTTAATTATATACACCTGAAAATCAAATATTCGTTTGCCAAATTGGATCCTTTCTTTAATGTATGGAATAGTGTAGTCAAAACATCCTTGGGCCAGTCCTAGCATCTGTTTAAAGAAAAGAGAGAGAAACCAAAAGATCAAAATGTGTTGGTTACAAGTTACATCTTTAGTTACCCAAGTAGCACATTCCTTTCACAGGGAGACTGAACTGGGGGAAGCGAGAAGGGGAACGCAGAGCTGGCAGGTGCACTGGGTATGCACTACTTACCTTTACCCACAGTATCTGATCATGTGGAGACAATGTGGACTCTTTTCATATATGCAGGAGTAAGTGCATTGAATTCTAGCGAATTCTGGCTACAGCTATGCTTATAGGCCCAGGACACTGCTCAGAAGTCCTCTTTATTAAATTCTGATTCTCCAGGCATGAAGCAAGCTGTAGCTTAGCCCAGAATGAACTCAAGGCTACAGACTCTATCTCCAGTCCTCAGAGTCAAATATGGAAAGTCACTTCTTTGCCTTGTCTGTTTGTTTTGCTTTCTGAAGTACAGAGGGGATAATCCATGCTGCCAACCATGTAGACAAGCACTCGACCATTGAGTGGGAGGAAGGGGGATGAGGGTATGGCCTAATAAGCATTAACATTTAAAAACATCCTTGGGTGATGTAACTGGGGTTCAGACAACTGATGAGAGAATCTGGTAAAAACAGTAATTTCCACACTTGAAGACCAAGTCAAATGTGGTAACAACTTCAGCTGAACTGTCTCATTGCTAACCAATTTCTATAACTATTGAATGACCCGAGCTTAAAAATGGTTTTTAAACTTCAACATTAGGTAGCTAGTAAATCACTATCTAATTATGTCAAACTATGTAGGTTTAAAAAAAGAAAAAGAAAAAAATCAATAGTTAAAGCTTTGGGGGGAAATGCTCACAAACATCAATATTTCATTAGTGTTCATTCACATTTTCTTTTAGCCTTTATTTAGTATTCTCTGGTGAACAGAAGATTATGTCCAAAATTAAGGGGACAATGCCCCCACAAATCCCAAGTTAAAATGAGGCAGCAAGTTTTGGTGGTTATAGATGACGTCATCCTCCAGCATGTAAGTCTCTCTATTAATATGAAGATTGATTTTGATTCTTAAATTTTTCTTTTCATTATTTTCTAATATGTATGAATGTTTTGCCTGCATGTATGTCTGTGTAACATGTACATGGAAGACATTCAGAGGACAGAAGAGACCATTGGCTCCCCTGGGACTGAAGTTACAGATGGTTGCGAGCCACCAGGTGTATGCTGGGAGTCAATCTGGGTTCTCCAGAAGAGCAGCCAGTGCTCTTGACTGCCAAGTTATCCTTCTAGCTCACAATTTCGTTTTTTAGGGAGGTTTTGCTATGTACACCCACTGGCCTTGAACTTGCTTTGCCAATCTTCAAACTCTCAACCTTTCTGCCTCAAGCCTCTGGGATCACAGGCATGTGCCAACACCACTGATTTAAACCCTGAAATTATCCACTGTGAATGAAAACATGCATTTCTATCTTGGTAGAATGCCTCCATTTTAAACAGTAAAGAAATAAATTCTCTGCAACTGCAGGGTTTTGAACATCGACTCCAGTTCACTGCTACGTGTACCTTTTCTTCTGCAAGCACCCACTGAGGCTCAGAACGTGTCTGCTCTTAACATTTTACTGGGTTATAAGATAACGCAGAGTAATAGGAATAAGGCCCATGTCATGGACTCCATGGCCAGAACATCTATAGTATATATATCTAGAAACCATAAGGCTTCCTACTGGAGCTTTAATGCTGTATCCAGTGAAGTTATACAACAAGAAAACCTTTAAAAGCACAGGCATGGCAGCATGCCTTCAGCTTTGATAGCAGCCAAAGCTGAATTCTGGTCTAAGAATAGCTTGTTAGGGTGAGGGTATAGCTCAGAGGTAGACCAGATGCACAGCATGCTGAGGGTCCTGGATTAAATCCTCAGAACCTCTCCCCTTAGGGGGTGGGCACCATTTTGCTAGTGTAGTAAAGAACAGCAGGAAAAAAATGTGGAGTAATAATTCAACATTTAACTACTGTAACAGCTAACAGATATAATTTATATCAAATCTAAAAGCTTTAAGTTAGTAAATCTTAGATACTGATTAAAAACAAACATACACACACACACACATATATATGACTATTGATTGGTTCAGGAAGGGCTTAGGGGACTCCAATTCTCAATGTTGAACTATCCACTACTGACAGATTTTGGGATGGGGGTAAGTCATTGCCTTCCCTTGACTTCACCTGGCTCCAATATTCACATAGAAAATGGCCCTGGAAATGGATCACTAAACATAGCCAATAGTTACAAAACTCAGTCTGGTAGGATGAAGGGGATGTGGTGTTGCTAAGGATGAGAAGGAGATAAGAGAAAGAGTGTTAAGAGAGTAATCAGAATTACACACACGCACACACACACATAGATGTATGCATGGTATAATATATATTAAGGGTTGAGATTAGGGGTATATGTGTGTATATATATGTATAGAACCTTACATAATAGAACATATGTGTGTATATACACATATATGTATGGATCCTTATATAATAGAATATATGTATGAATATATGGATGCTTACATAATAGAATATACATACTTATATAATAGAATGGGTGTTCTTAATTTTAAAAAGTCCTAAAAGAATGAATTTTCAGGTTTTGAAAAGTTAACTGAAAAACAGATGTCATTATCTAATATGTAATATATTAGAAGTTACAGGTCTAGGTATTAGATAATACTTTAATGTTCTCAAAGCAGAGAACAGCGATTACTAAGCTATTGTTTGATCTTCTGGGCACTTACATAATTGACCAAAGTAGAGTTTGAGAGAAATAATCTGAAGCCATTCTTTTCCCTCATGCAAGGACAGGGTGCCACCTTGTGTTCAAAAGCTTCCAGATAATTAATTGTCTTACTGCAATTCTTTTTTCTTTATCTTAATTGGCTCAAAATGTGAAGGAGCTAAGATGTGACGTACCTGTGCAGCGATTCCGATTCTACCTTCATTAAGACTTCCTATGGCATACTTATAACCATGCCCAATTTTTCCCAAAATATTAGTTTCTGGAACCTGGAAATACAAATGTACACTTACTTCCAAATTTAGATTTATATCATTTATTTTGATTTTAAATATACATAACATGTAATTACACACACATACTTGAATCTCCCCAATTTGTGTGACCTTACTCTATCGTGGTATTGAGAAGACTTCAATGAGTAAAGCTGCAGAAATGACTCAATTGTTAATTGTTAATTGCTTTTCCAAAGGACCCAGGTTCAACTCCCAGTACTCTACATGATTGGTCACAACGATTCTTATCTCCAGCTTCAAGGGATCTGCCATCCTCTTCTGACTTCTGCAGGCAACAAGCACACAGGTGGTACACATTCATTCGGGCAAAACATTCATACACAGAAAATAAAACAAATAAATCTATAAAACAAGAAAAAAAAACAGACAAATCAAACCCTCGGGGTTGATTGCCTGCTGACATCTGTGCGTCTCCTCACTGTTCTCCCAAATCCATGCTGCTCACTTGTGTGTCCTCCTGAGCCCAAGCACAATCTACCAAGTGAATTAATGCATTTAGAAAAAGGGAATTTTACATAATTTGTTAATAACATATATGAATAGCAAGTTATCTCCAATTCTTATCTGTATGTTAATCATATTGAGATAATTCATTTTGAACTACAAAAACATGAAGTATTTTCAAAAGCAAGAGTAATCAACTGCTCTTCTGTTGAGATGATTCATTTTTAGAAAAGGCTACTGAAGTGTGTGTGTGTGTGTGTGTATGTGTGTGCGCTCTCCCATCCTACAGTAAAGTAGGAGAGAAGGAAGGAGAAATAAGCTGTAATATTTCCTCATAATATATAAAGTTAATGGTAGAAGTGAAGAGATGGCCCAGTGCTAAGAGGATTTGCTGCTCTTGCAAGGATCCAGGTTCTCTTCCCAGTACCCACATGGCTACCCACAACTGTCTCTGATTCCAGTTCCAGGGAATCCTACACTCTTTTCTGGTCTCCAGGGGCACACGGCACATATATGGTTCACGCACACACACCCACACATGCAAAACAACATTCACACACATACTGCAAAATATCCTCAATAATCAATACTAGAAACAAATCAATACTAGGAACAAAAGAAAACCCTTCAGTTAGGAGGGAGAACAGGGAGGACTGGGCGGGGTAAGGTCAAGTAGGAAGAAGGAAGGAGTGAGGCCCAAAGATATCTGTAACGATATCTCAGTACCTCCAGACACAGCTGCCCACAGGGACCCAGGAGCAGTGGAACATCTGTGCCCAAGCCAGGCTTTAGCTCAGCACCAGCATCCTGAGGAAGAGCTCGTTTTTTGTGGAGTGTAGCCTGGTTGCTTTCCACTCTCACTGAGCAACATCTCCATCTTGTGGCCGTTGGTGTACTGACCTCAGAGTTGCTTCGACCAGCAGAGGTAGGTTCACAAGTGCCACACTTGTAAGTATAAATGTTTCACAAATATGTACATTGTAAATAATGATAACAGTAATAATAACTAAGGTTAATGTCTGACATTTGCTCTCTAGGTCAGAGGTTGAACAGAAAAGTTTTCCATAGAAGAGAATTGAGAAAAGGAACTCAAGTCTTGTGAAAAATGTTCTTAGTCAGAGCTTAATTGCTGACTAGCTGCTCCACCAAGAACTCTTCCATGCACACTTACACCATTTGTTGTTTTGGCCATCCTGTTGTATATTTCCTATGGTTCTATTTAAGGCTGATTTCTCAGTAATCTTTATGGAATATTCTAGAATACCTACCTTGACATTTTCAAATGTTAACTGACAGGTGGAAGAAGCTCTGATCCCCATTTTGTTTTCTCGTTTCCCTATCTGAAAACCTTCTGTATCTCGGTCTACTAAGAAGCAGGTGATGCCTCTGTATCCCTATAAATAAATAAATAAATAAATAAATAAATAAATAAATAAAATGTTATTATCACTTAGGCTTTAAAAATCCCTGTTTATAAAGAGTTCAAAGTAAGAAAGCTAAGGAGTTTCAGAGATGGCTCAGCAATTAAGAGTACTTGCTGCTCTTCCAAAGGACCAGGGTTTGGTTCCCAGGACCCACATTGTAGCTCACAACTGTCTGTAACTCTAGTTTCATGGGATTTAGCTCTCTCTTCTGGCTTCCATGAGCATCAGACATGCACATGGTTCACAAACATACATGCAGGCAAAATAGACACACACATAAACTAAAAATAAAAATCATAAAAGAGTGAAAAGCAAGTTACAGGGCTGGCAAGATGGCCCAGCTGGTGAAGTGCTGCTTTGCAAACTTGAGATGTGTGTTTGATCCTAAGAACCTGCACAAAGAGCAGAGCACAGTGGCATGCGCTTGTGATAGCCGTGCTAGGGAGGCAATCCTTGGAACTTGCTGCCCAGTCAGGCAAATGTTATCAGTGAGGCCCAGGGCCAAGTGAGTGACCTTGCCTCAAAAAGAGCTGGGGGGCTTGAGAGAGGAATCAGTAGTCAAGAGTAAATACTGCTCTTGCAGAAGATTCAAGTTTGGCTCTCCACATCACTGCCAGTGGCTCACAATCACCTGTAACTTGGGCTGCAGCAGATCTGACATCTTCTGGTCTCCATGGGTACCTTGTACCCTGTGTACATCCCATGACACAGACAAATATGTATGCATATAGCATACGTATTTGTCTTTAATTTAAAAAAATATTAATCTTTAAAACAAAAGTGGCCATTTCCTGAGAAGCAGTGCCTGAGGTTGTCTTCTGGTTTCCTCACAGATGCATCCACATCTACACAAACACACACACGTGCACACATGTACAAAAGGAAAAGAAAGCTAAAATGGGCAATAAACACCAAAGGACTCTGAGTTGCAACATGTGCATTACAGAACTAGAACAACTGGAGAACACTAGTTACTAAGCAAGAACCTTATGCCAAGCACAACAGTGCAACCTCTACGTGCATGTCAGCACTTGGGAAGCTGAGGCAGGTGGATCTCAGTGAGTCTGAGGCCAGCCCAGACTCTCTAGGGCTACCTAGAGAGGAACATTACTACTTCTTGTACATCTCCACACCCCACAGTGAGTGTTGAAATTATTTTTATAAGTATGTGATCATGAGACCCCATAATTTAAATTCAATATTCTCAAACAAATCAGAAAACAAAATAAAACATACTTACCATTTTGCTGTATGAGTTTCTTCCGTCTGACTAAAATACTCTTAAGTATTTTTCAATATTCTTAAAAGTAATGTATTTTACAAGTACTTAAAGCCTTCATTATTATACAGAAAAATTAAAGTTCTATGCAATTAAAGATTAGGGTATTAGGAGAGAAGTAATAAACGGTCCTCTGTGTAATTAATAACTATGTCAACAACAGTTATCTTAGATGAATAAGAGTGAAAAAAATGATCATTCAACTCTCACAGAACGAGGAGCTTAAAACTAATCCTGGAAAGGAAATAAAAGAAAAGGAGAGAAAGCAGCGGTGGGAGGAGGGAGGAGAGGGAAGTTTCTCTTCGTACTTACAGAGGTGAGGTCCACGTTTGCGAACACCAGGAAGAGCTCTGCATGCTCTGCATTGCTAATCCACATCTTCGAGCCATTGATGAGGTAGTAGTTTCCACTTTTATCAGCTCTCGTTTTCAAAGCGAAAGAGTCACTACCAGCTCCAGCTTCAGAGAGGCAAAAGCTCCCTAACTACAGATGTGAGAAAAAAGTTATTGTGTTTATCCTTTATATTAATGAGTCATAGGGGAAAAAATGGACATTTGTGGGTTTGTTTGTTTGTTTGTTTGTTTTCTCTCTCTCCATGACAGAGTTTCCTTGTGTAGAGCTGGCTGCCCTAGGAACTCACTCTATAGAGCAGGCTGGCCTTGAACTCAGAAATCCACTTGCCTCTTCTCCCCTAGCCCCCACCGCCGAGTGCTGGGATTAAAGGTGTGTGTAACCACTGCACTGCCCAATTTTTAAAATGGACATTTGTAAGTCAAATCTTTAGTTATGTAAAAAAAATCTATTATTTGGGCTGGGCATGGTGCTGTATGCCTTTAATCCCAGCACTCAGGAAGCGAAGGCGGCAGATCTCTGTAAGTTCAAGGTCAGCCTGCTCTACATAATGAGGTCAGACCAGCCAAGGCTATGTACTGAAATCTTGCATTTAAAAAAAGTTTCTATTTAACAAAATAGAATTGTAATCATTATTTTTTCAAAAGCACCCTTACTATTTATCTAAGATAAATACAGATTTAGTAACACATGCTTACTGTGTAGCATTTCCTAGTCTATCTTCATTAAGACTTCCCATGCACAGTTAGAGCCTCCTGCCATCTCAGAACTTAAGGAAAAGATGCAGAAAGGTGGTTGTAAGTTTGAAGCCAGAAAAACAAACAAATAAAAAACCCCACATGCTTAAATTTATTTAATTCTAGTAGAAAGTGATCTCAACAAAGGTACGAGAAAATGAATTGTGATAAAAGTACTGTTGTTTTGCCAGGCTGTGGTAGTGCACACCTTTAATCTCAGCACTTGGGAGGCAGAGGCAGACAGATCTCTGTGAGTTCAAGGCCAGCCTGGTCTATAAAGTGAGTTTCAGGACAGCCAGAAACCCTGTCTCAAAACAAACAAACAAACAAACAAAACACAAAACAAAAACAACAAAACACCAAGTGCTGTGTTTGTTTAGTTTGTTGGTTTGTAGGCAAGGTCTCACTTACACATTCCAGGCTGGCCTGGAAGTCGCTATGTAGCCTAGGCCTGGTCTCAAATGAGTAGTTTTCCTGCCTCAGCCTCTGAGCAGTAGAATTATGAGTATGCACTGCCATGCCTGGCTGAAAATCATTGATGATTATTTCCTAAGTTTCCACATGACAAATGAGAAGTAGAATGTGTTTTTCTGGTAGCAGTAATTTATTGAGCATTGCCTGGTTGATTGATGGTGCTGCATTGTGGTCTCGGATAATGAAAGTCAATATCACAGGTACCGTTCTCCTGAAAACGTTGAAACCTTAGACCCCCAATCCATTTCAACAACTCATTTCAACTTACTTTTTCTGTAACCAGCTTTGGCAAATAGGTGGCCTTCTGTTCTTCTGTACCATGTTTTCTAAACAAGTTGTTAACTATTGTGTTCTGGATGTCACACAGGAGAGCCACAGATGCGTCCACTTTAGCTAGTTCCTCTATCACCTGGACACTGCAGAAAAAGGAAGCTTCTGTTCCTCCATATTTTGCTTCTACTTCAATACCCATCAGCTAAAGCAAAGACAGATGAGGAAAGATGAGACAGGTGAGGAGAGCTACTTATTCCGGGAGACTGCAAACTATAAACTGTGAAAAAGAAACTATAAACACATGCATGACCTGGAACCCCTTATGCTAGCTAAGCACTTTAGCCACGGCCCACCTATATTCTGAATTTTAAAATTTTATTTACATTTTAATTTGATATAGCTATTTTGCTATAAACAATAGTCTATAAAAACACTAGAGTTTTTTTGGTTGCTTGTTTGCTTTTCCTTTTTTTTTCTTGAGAAGAATGAATTTATGTTAAAATTTTTCTTCCACTTTGAGTCTCAGATAACAAAGTTACGAAATGCTTTGAAGCATAAGAATGGAATAAAGAAATCTAAGTCTGCTCTGAGAACCTTTCTAATTAAGAAGGCATGAGCTGTTTTGGTATTTGAATTCAGGCCCCTCTAGACTGATTTGATGGAAAAGCTCCCAGTGCACACGTCTGCAGCTTAAGCTGGCATAGAGTCTTCTAAGCAGGTCTTTTGATGTGACCTTTTCAGCAGAGATAATGACTGCTCGACCATCCATTTTGGGCCACTTTAGAAAGTCCAAGATGGTTAGCAGACAACACCTGGTACTGTTTTGAGTGACACATGCAGCAAGTCACAGGTGCTGACACACAACACTAAATGTTGGCCAACATCTTTAGGTGGCCATTTGATTTCAATGTCTAAGTCTGGCACATGAAATGTCCTTAGGACTGCTCCATGTTTAATTGTCCTTGTTTTAGGAAAGGAACATGACATATACAAGTGGTGCAAGATCCACGTCTGAGAGTAGGAAGGGTGACGTTCCCTTTCTCTCTAGGCTCTCCTAGAACAGCCCTGCTGAGTTAGGACTATGGCTATATTTCATGTTGAGGATGTAGCTGACAGAAAGGTGGAACCATGAAGGCTGAGAACTACAGTGGGGGAGGGGAAGATAGGGTGGGAGAGAACTGACAGTGATTTCTGAGTGTGAGTAATTGTTAGCAATACTGTTCCTCAATAAAGGTCACAGTACTCTTTAATCGGAAATATGTGGCAGGTCACTAACACTAGGACTGAGGAGTTGGGGGCAGCTGAGCTACTATAAGCAAGAGCAGATTACGTAGGTGGATAGTGAGTGCACATGGCCCTGAATTCAAGAACTACTCCAGGAGAACAGTTTTCAAGACGTGAGAGCACTAAAGGATTCCCACAGAACCGTGGCAGGGGTATGGCGTCTGTCAATGATGACAGCGGAACTGGTCTGGGAGAGGAACCATTGCATCTCTGTCTAACATCCTAGAGTTCTGTGTGGCCCCATATGTCTCTACATGGGATTCCATTTCCTAAGGATTTTACTGATAACAAAAAATTATAAAGACCATCAAAAGCTGGTCATATTAAAACCAGAAGAAATGAAATTACATGGCCTGGTGCCAAAAGTTATTTTTCAATAAGGTGACAGACAAGATTTAGGAAGGTGGTACTGAATAGGAGTGACTGGTTCTGGGACATACTTAGCATTAAAAACAAAAAGCAAAACAAACAAAGAAACCCTTTGAGTCTCAAGGGAAGGTAGACACCAGGAATTAGTATGGTGATTTTTTTAAGACGTTCTCCTTGGAGGTCCCACACTGACAATACCTGACTCATAGCCAGATTCCTTCTACTTTAATTTATGCTACATGTCATACTTGATGACTAGAGCTATGTGACAAGGACTGTGTGAATCACAAAGCTGGAAATCTGGTTAACGTGGCACTCAGATATGAGCTCTGCTTTAAGACTGTCACATACACAAGAATCCACAGTGTCTATGACTTGTAATGTTTGCCAGAGCTAAACAGTTCTTAGTTGAGTTTCCCTGTGTACTATAGATGTTCAGTCTGTAGTGTCCCATGCTTCTTCCCACCAGATGCTAGTGGCCTTCTCCTTTAAAAGCATTGCCAATTAAAAATGTCAATGCAGTTAAAACTCTTTAACTGTATAAAATCAACTAAGACCTTAACCAAGAAGAAACACGGATACTTTGTACTAGGAATGAGGAATTCACTATGATTACTATAATCCTGCAATTGAAAAGCTTGCATATACTTTAACATACAAGATGTACTTAAAAGTAGCTGGCCAACACAAAATGGACTGTTTTTTGTGTGTGTTTTGTTTTGTTTGGGCACTTTTTGTCTTGTTTGCTTTGATTTTTTTTTTTGAGAGAGAGAAGCAGAGAAAGAGAGAGAGAGAGAAAGAGAGAGAGAGAGAGAGAGAGAGAGAGAGAGAGAGAGAGAGAGAGAGAGAGAGAATATAAAATTGGGTGGGTAGAGAGGTGGGGGAAGACAGGAGAGGAGTAGGGGAGGGAAAGAATATGATAAAATATATGGTATAAAAATTTTAATAACAAAAAGTTTGAAAGGAGATTTAAGAAACAAATACCCCTTGTTGAAATAATCCTTGTATCACTGATTTCTCCATTTTTGAATTTTCATCCATAGTTGAAACCAAAGGAGCAATTTGTTCCTGTGCAAATTTTTTGACTGTGGGGAAAAAGAATTGCTGATAAGTTTATGTTTAAGTAGATAAAGTGGATATTTTTAAGTTAAGAAAGAAATAGTTCATTAGCAGTTTGTTGATAAACTTCTTTTTCAACCAATAAAATACATATGACTATATGTAGTTTTTCAAGATACAGATTACAACTTCCTTCTATAAAGACGTAAAAAGGCAATCCCATAATCCCCTTTGAAGCAAAAATATAAATACTACGGAAGGCATAACATGAAACATGAAAGCCTTATTCTCTTATCTTGGATTAAGAGTTAATCTCCCCAAAGGTAACTGACTTTAAACTTAGTGTTCCTTCCAAAAGCTTCTCTTCAAAGCCTTCTGTACGTCTCTGCCCAGACGCTCTACCTATCGGCTTACTTCTATTACACAATCCAACATAAGACACCCACTCAACCTTCTCCCTGCTTCCCTCCTCCCATCTTACTCTTTTCACTAGTTTTTGAGACAGAATTTCACTGTGTAGCCCTGGTTGGCCTGGAACTTACTATGAGATCAGGCTAGCCTTAGCTCACAAAGATCTACTTGCTTCTGGTTTTGGAGTTCTGAGATTAAAGGCACACACCACCATGCCAGATGCCTACTGTCTCTCTGCTTACACCTTATCTTTCTACACCAGCACATCCCATCTAACATGGACCTCTTAACAGCTGCACAACCACACACAGGAAGGTTTCTCCACCTCGGTACTACGAATGTTATGGACAGGCAAGCCTTTGCTTTGGAGATGCTTTCTGTGTGCACTGTAGGATGGTTAGTGTCATGTCCTCACTCCAGGGCTACAGAAGAGACTGGTAATGAAGCAGCTTCTGGGAAGAGCTGCAGAATCTGGGAACAGAGATGGGTAAGGCTTAACTTGTAACCTAGCCTTTTATTCTGCTGTTGTTTTTATATGACTTTTTACTAAACCCAGCTACTTTGGAGGCTGAGGTAAGAAGGTACTTGAGCCTAGGGGGTTGAGATCACCATGGGCAAAACAGCAATATCCTGTTTCAATAGTAAATAAATACCCTGCGAGCCCCCAAACAGAGCAACCACTACAGAGATGAGCATATCTTCTGGGCTGTTTTGTATTGTTTCCCATGACCAGAGGGGCAACAGGATTGAAGTTGAAGGTCTACTCACCTGCCTCCTTCATCATAATTTCCTCATCCGTAAATGTCTGCAGAGGTGCCAAGGATAGCGCATTATTCGTTATACCGAGTAGAGCTTCTGGTTGTGAGGATTTGAGGACACGAGGAGGAATTTTCCAAGAAGACAAGCAAGTTGGGAAGTTTCTTGTCAGCTTTAGAAACAGCCCCGATTGAAGAAGAGATATACATAGAAGAAAGCAATTTGAACATTAGTTTACTTGGGAATAACTCTATCACCCATTCGAATTTATTTATAAGTATGTGTGTCTACATCTGTGTGAGTTTATTTATACCACATGTGTGTCAGTGTCAGTGGAAGAGGGGATTGGGTCCCCTGGAACTGGAGATTTAGATGGTTGTTCAGTATGGGTTCTGGGAACCAAACCTGGACCCTCTGCAAGAACAGTCCACATGACTTATTCTTATATCCTAGACCCATATTCTAAAATAAGATAGCTTAATTTAGTACATTTTAAAATTCACTTTTGTTGTTGTTGTTTTTCTGAGACATGGTTTCTCTGTGTAATAGCTCTGACTGTCCTGGGCTCACTTTGTAGACCAAGCTGGCCTCAAACTCACAGAGATTCACCTGCCTCTGTCTCCCGAGCTTTAGGATTAAAAGTGTGTGTCATCATGCCCAACTAAATTCACTGTCTTTTATACACAATAATAAGTCATTGAATAGTGCATGGTACTCCTTTATCCAGCAATGAGCTACTATAAATAAACAGACCCTCTAATTAAAAATTTACTTTTATTCTTTTTAATTCTGTGTCTGTGTGTGGTCTGTATATAGTAGGTATGTGCATATGAGGGCCACACAGGACAGAGGTGTCAGATCCCCCAGCAGCTCGTGTTACAGGCAATTGTGAGCCAGCTGATGTGGGTGGTGGCAATAGAATTTGAGTCCTCTGAAAAAGGAAAGTAGTGCTCTCTCTCCCTCTCCCCCTCTCCTCCCTCCAGGGTCTTTATATATAGCTAAAGTTGTCCTGGAACTCTAGGCAGATCAGGCTGGCCTCAAAACTTGGAGATGCCCCTACCTCTGCCTCCTGGGATTAGAAATGTGTGTCCCTACATGCACCTCCCAGTGCATGTCCTTAACACTAAGCCATATCTCCGGGCCCAGCTACCTTTAAACCTACAAGGAAACAAGTTTTTACACTGAACTCATTCTCTAAATACTTTTCTCATTTTACTAACTTCTTGGCTAGGAATACAAGACTCCTGTCGTCTATGACTAACCACTGTTAAGATGGGAGACAATGTATAAAGGTTAAGGAAACAAGTTTTGGAGTCTAAACAAACTAGGCTTAAATCCTAACATTGGATATGTAATAGCTATATCATTTTGGCAAGTGATTTCATTGTTTTTGTAGGATGTGGTGGTTTTAATAAGAATGGCCCCCATAAGCTCATATATTTGAATGTTTAGTCACCAGACAGTGGAAGGATTAGGAGGTGTGGCCTTGTTGGGGTAGGTGTGGCCTTGTGAGAAGAAGAGTGGCACTGGGGATGGACTTTGAGATTTCAAAAGTCCATGTCAGGCCCAGGCTTTCTCTTTCTGTTTGCAGACCAAGATATAGCTCTCAGCTGCTTCTCCAACCTCACACCTGCCTGCCTGCCTGCCACCATGTTCCCTGCCATGATGACAAATTCAACAGTTTCTTTTATAAGAGTTGTCTTGGTCATGGTGTATCTTCACAACAACAGAACAGTGACTAAGACAGAGGGGTATGGGTGATTTTTTTTTAATCTCTCACAATCTTGGTTTCTATACCTATAAAATTCAGATAATTTCTTGGAGCCTTGTGAGAATCATTAAAACAATCTATATATAAAAGATTTATCACAGTATCACCATTTAGCAGGAGCTTAATAAATATTTGTGACTAGTTCTACTTATGAATTGTGACAAGAACATTAGGCTAGGAGGAAGGATGGGGAAACACATTATATCCCTCTTGATGAGACAGACAAGAAAAAGTAAAGAGAACAGGAAAGGAGAAGTGCAAAGGGACTACAGACAAGAAAGCATGCTGCTAATAGCTGAAGGGAGGCAAGTGGTAGTAGCTGGTTCAAGCACTGAAGGAAGGATGGGGAGAAGTGGAAATACGGAAGCGGAAGAGAAATAAATACAAGGGCAATTTTGCTCAATGCTGGTGATGGAGTCTTGGATTGTGCCCTTAATATATAGTCCAAAGAAAGAAAGAATGAGTCAACTACCTCCATAAACTGCCTGTGAAACTTGCCTATCCATTTCAAAGCCTGCAATACACTGGCCTACATTTCTCATTTCTAGGGGAGGTTATTTACTTCACTAAGCTCACTACAGAATTCTTTCTGTCTCTTAGTCAATATATCACCTTTGTACCTATGTTGATCTTTAAAAGAAAGCCCACTGCTGAGAAACCCAAGAAGCCAGTGGGTCTTTCGATAATACCTATTTTTCCTGCTGACACAAGTGTAAGCCCCTTAGTCTCAATATTACCACTGACAAAGCACATGCCAGTTCAACCCACAACAATTACTTTCAGATTCAGAGGAGATTACAGAGGCAAATGAAGTTTTAGAAAGTTCAAAATGGCACACAATCATAGGGTAGGTGATTGAAGATGCTAATCATAAAATATGAAGACTAGATGCTGTGAATGGAATCCATTTCTAGCCAAAGCATCATGAGAGATTACTTGACTCTTGGTAGATGATACTAGAGGAAAGGAAAGCTTTCCTTCTCTTGCCTTTAACTGCACACTCTGGATTACACAGTTGATTTTTCTAATGTCCCTGTGCTTTGGCACTAACCACAGTCATTGCAGTTTTGGTGTCTACTCTATCAAAATGATTTTCTGAAGTTATAACCCATTGTACCACATCATCACATTTTTTTTGTACAGAGAAGCAGTTGTTACTTGAGTGAGATAATGGTTATTTACACCTTGCCAAATCCTTTCCTTAGTTTCCATATGATCTGTTTCTACTCAGCTGACCAGAGAGTTCTGATGTACTATGGCTAGAAGGATCAAGTCCATGAACTTGGGGAGGGTTGGGGAATTACATATTTATTTCATTAACCTCTAGCAAAAATACAGCATTAGAAATTATGAATGTGGGTAACACATTTTGGTAATATGAGCAATAAATGTGACTCTGCCAAAAGAAATCATAGCCATTTTCATATCACATTGATTTAGCACTAGTATCTTGAAATACATTTTTGTTCATCACTATGGAAAAATTACAGTGGCTATTAGAATGACTGCCAAGCTGTACTTAAAAAGCACACCCTGCTCAATCACATTAAGACATTTTATAACTGTTTCATTATAATTGATTTCCTTTATAACGCTGTATCTTTTATTTTATGCATTTTAAACATTTGGAGGAAAGGTCTATAAACTTTTACTATACTGCCACATATGCTGCACTCAAAGTGCTGAAAAGTTAAGAATGCTTGACTGTGGAATGTTCTGGCAAATCTATTGCTATTCTTGTTACATTTAGCCACTGGATTAGTTAGGAACGCCTTTCCACCATGCTTTGGCATAATGAAGTGTTATTTTAAATGTTCCTGGAGTGTTTCCTATCTAACTGCATTTACAGCCCAGGAAAGGCAGAGAACACATTACAGAAATCATGATGACTTGCAAAGACTCAATCAGATTTGCAAAAGGAGAAATTCCAATAGGAAGAGCTGCACTTCTCTGTAGTCGTTGTTTTTCTGCCCTGCTTGCCCTCTTGGCTCCTCCTTCTCTGAGAGGGATCCAGAGGTGTGCCTGTGTCTACTACCTGCTGACACAGGGCATGAGGAAAGTCTGCTTTTCCTGCTGCTGCAGAGAACAAATACTCTTTCCCCTTTTCTAAATTAAGAGTAACTTTGCTCTCCTCCTGAAACTGTTCTCTCAGTCTCCTTTCCTAGGATAAGGAGGAAGGCTCCATGAACTTCACAATAAAACCTGAGAATGCTACAGGGCCATCTTCTAGCAAGAAGGACAAAGAAGGGTGACCATTTCTCTTAAAACTCAGGAAAGCTATCAAAGGCACCTTTTTCTACTCTTGACCCTTGTTATGCCCTACTGGACAATTGTCCTTAGTTATTGATTTATTGAGTTTACGTCACAAATATTCTTTCTACCCAACACATACCAAGAGCTTAGGAAATGTGAGGCCAGAGGCCAACTCAAGTGACACTCTGGTCATGACCTCTTCTCATATCTGGTGAATTCCCCCACTCCCACACCCTGCTACTGTGCATCTGTTTTGAGATGCCACTCAGTACTGAATATCTTAAGGCCTTTGTATCTGACCACAGACTCAATCTCGGTCCCCCAGCTTTTCTCATAAAATACCGTGCTAAACTTGTTCTAACATGTCATCAGATGTTCAATCCTATCAACAAATCTATTTTTCCTCTGGTCTCTCTTCTGAGTTCACAACCCTCATTAACTAGCCCAGATCCCATTGTTGATCTTTGAGAACATAGATTTCACAGTACTGGAAACATTCTTGTCAATATCTTCTTCTTCTAAAAAAACAAACAACAACAAAACAAAACAAAACAAAACAAAACAAAACATTTTTATACTACGAAGAACATAGTTTTCCTTTTCCTAGATCAAGGGCAACTTTCCTTTCTTCATCAACCTTTGTCTGTAATGCCTTATAGGAGAGTCATGAAAGCTAGTTTTCACTATCTCTCACCCTGTTTCCTTAAGTGAGCATTTTTCAAATGCAAGGTATTAAAACTTAATAGCTATACAGTGATAAGATGTGGGGTCCCTTAGAGGTGATAAGGCCAAAAGGCTCCCCTCTTGAGAATGGAATTAAATCCATTAACTTGTTACTTTTCTCATTGTTACCAAATACCTGTCATGAAGCAACAGAAAAGATTTATTTTTGTTTGGTGCATTGTTTGAAGATACTTTCCGCAACACTAGCAAAGACATGCTATTAGGAGTGGCTTGTAGGTATGGTGACAGAAACATGAGACTGCTTACATTTTGATGGCTCAGGAGCAAGAGATGGGACAGGAAGCAGGCAAGCCTACACACTTCAAGACTACCCCCAAAGACCCACTTCTTCCAATCAGCCTCCAACTCCCAAATGATCTACAGCCTCCCAAAATGCATCACCAGGTGGAGACCAAGTATTCAAA